TGCAGCTGCTGCTGCAGCAGCTGCTGCAGCAGCTAGCTTCTGACTCTACGCTGCAGCAGCAGCTCGGCAGCTGCTGCAGCAGCTCGCAGCAGCAGCCGCAGCTTCTTTCCCTTAGGGGCCCACAGAAGACAGTGGGGCTGCAGGCAGCCGTTGGCTGCTGCAGCCTTCGTGCTGCAGCACAACTGCTGCTGCTGCTCTCCCCGCAGCGAGCCCCCTGCTGCTGCTGCTCTGCTGCTGGGCAGCAGCAAAAGGAGCAGCAGAAGTGACCCTGGGGGCTTTCGCCCGCGGTGCTGCAGCAGCAGCAACAGCGGCTGCTGCTGCAGACTAAACAGCTCTTAAAATGCCCTTTTCGCACATTTTTCGAATTGTTATTTAAAATTAATTATAAAAATATAATTATTCTCCCTTTTTAGCGCCTCCGGCCCCGCGAGCCGCTCCCAGTGCAGCGCGTCTTTGCCGATTTTGCAAAAGAGCGCCAATTCGAACGAAACTGCCGCCAACAGCCCCCGATCTTTGCACATTTCGGCGATTTAACTCAAAAAACAAATTTAGTTTTTAATTATTTTGAAAATAGACCATTTTAGTTGTAATTTGGTGCCAAAGAGCCCCTCCAGCCGCAGACGGCGACGGCAGTGCATGCTGCGCTGGCGGCAGCAGCAGCAGCAGCAGCAGCAGCAGCGGGCAGCCAGCAGCAGCAGCAAGAAGCAGCGGTGGCAGAAAAGAAGGTTTTATCTTGTTTAATTGAATTCCGAAAAAAGAATTAAAGAAAATCAAAGCACTGCAGCAAAAGACTCCTGCTGCTGCGCGTCCCTCACTCTGGGGCCCCTCCCGCAGCTCTCTCCGCGTCTTCTTGCTGCTGCTTCGGCCATTTGACTTTTTGCTGCTTCTTTTTCTCTTCATTTTGCTGCTGCTCTCGGGACATTCCCCCGCCGGCAGCCCCCTTAGCCTGCTGCTGCTGCTGCTGCTGCTGCTGCTGCGGGGCTTGTGAGAAGGATTGCTCGAGAAGCGGCCGCGGACTCTCCCCGGGTGTGCAGCTATTGTTGGCAAGCCAACCACGGGGAGACGTGGCGTGTGCAGCAGCAGCAGCAGCAGCAGCGCAGCACCTGTAGCAGCAGCAGCAGCGGGACCGGCGGCAGCAGCACGGGCAGCAGCAGCAGCCGCTGCAGCAGCAGCTGCACGATGAGCGAACTCCTGCTGCGCAGCCCCCCCGACGGTGAAGACCCCCCGGAGGCAGCAGCAGCTTCGAGGTCACCTGTGGGGGAGGGGCCCCCCCCGGCCGCAGAGGGCCCCCCCAGCCGCCGCGGCAGCAGCAGCAGCAGCAGCAGCTTGGGGGGCCCCTTCTCTGCTGCTCCTGCTTTGCTGCTGAGCTCTCAGTCTTCAGCGCTGCAGAGTCTCCTTTCAACTCGAGAGCCTTCGGGGCCGCTGCCGCCCTCAACTCCTCCTGCTGCGCTGCTTCCACTTGCTGCAGCAGACAGCAGCAGCAGCAGCAGCAGCGGGAACGGCGGCGGCAGCAGCAGCGGCAGCAGCGGCAGAAGAGCCAACGGCAACGGCGGCAGCAGCAGCGCAGCAGCTGCGGATTGGACCGCAGCGGAGCAGCAGGAAGGCGAGGGGGAGGAGCAGCAGCAAGGACTGCAGCAGCAGCAGCTGCTGCAGCAGCAAGAGCTGACGTTTAGCAGCTTCGGCCAGCCCCTCAGCTCGCGCACAAGTTCTTTGTCCCGCAGCAGAACTGCAGCAGGAAGCAGCAGCAGCACAGCAGCGGAGATCGAGACCCACAGTAGCAGCAGCACCACGTACAGCAGCAGCAGCAGCACCAGCAGCAGCAGCAGCAGCAGCGGCTGGCTGCCTGTAGAACAAGAGCCTTCTGCGTCTTTCACTGCAGCAGGGCCTTTAGGTTTCGGTCCTGCTGCTGCTGCCTCTTTGGTTGGCGCTGCAGCATTTCCCGCTGCAGCTGCTGCTGCGGCTCCCCCGCCGCCCCTTGCTGCTGCTGCTGCTGCTGCTGCCACAGAGGGCCCAAGGGGCCTCCGTGCTGCTGTTCGGGGGGGCCTCGAGCGGCTTTTGCGGATGTCATCTTTTAGGCGAGAGGCTGAGGGGCCCCCCAGCAGCTACTCGTGTGCTGCTGCTGCTGCTGCAGCAGCAGCTGCTGCTGCTGCTGAGGGAGCAGCAGCAGGCCGCAGCAGCAGGGCCGCGCTGCCGCTGGCGCAGTACCCGCTGCAGCTTGGGGTGTATGGACAGCAGCAGCAGCAGCAAGAGGCGCCTTACGGAGCTGCGAATGTGAGTTGGCAGCTTTTAACTTATTCATTTATTTATTTGTTTATTCTTGTTGTTATTTATTTCTTTTATTTACTTCCTTTTATTGTTATTTATTTTTGTTTTTTTTCTCCTTTTTGTTTTGTTTTATCTCTTTCTTAGAATCCAAATTGCTGCATTTGGGCCCCATGCCTTTGCTGCTGCTGCTGCTGCTGTTGCTGCTGCTGTCTCCTTTTGCTGCTGCCTTTTGTGGCAGCTCCTTGGTTTATCTCTTGAAGCAAATAAACAAGTAATAAACAAATAAATAAATAAAAATTAATTAATTGATTGATTAATTGATTAATTAATTGTTTGCTGCCTCTGCTGCTTAGGCAGACTCAAGGGCCCACTGGGTGCTGCTGCTGGAGCTGCAGCGCGTGCGCAGCGACTTGGCGCTGCTGCAGCAGCAGCAGCAGCAGCAGCAGCAGCCTTCCATTGTCATTCAAAACAACACAGCAGTTTCAGCAAAGGCGGAGGGCGGGGCCCCGCTGCAGCAGCAAAATGGCGGCAGCTGGGTGCCGCAGTGCGTCACCCTGTAAGCTGCTGCTGCTGCTGCTGCTGCCGCTGCGTGTGCTGCTGCTGCTGCATGTGCTGCTGCTGCTGCATGTGCTGCTGCTGCTGCTTGTGCTGCTGCTGCTTGCGCTTCCGCTGCTTGTGCTGCTGCTGCTTGTGCTGCTGCTGCGTGTGCTGCTGCTGTTGCTTGTGCTGCTGTTGCTGCTTCTGCGACTGCTGCTTGTGCTGCTGCTGCTGCTGCTGCTGCTGTGTCTGCCAGTCCCGTGTATTGCCACATTCCTGTCTCCTTTTTGTCTCCTTTTGTTTCCTGTTGTTTCTTTTTATTTTCTTTTTTATCTAAAATCTTTTTTGTCCGTTTTACTTTATTTTTTCATCTTGCTGATTTTCTTCTTTCCGTGGTTTACCTCTTTTAAATCATTTTTAATTCTTTTTTTAATTTTCATCTCTTTTTCTCATTTTGAGTCCTTTTTGTCTTCTTTTTGTCTCCTTTTTGTGTCTTTTTGTCTCTTTTTATTTCCTTTATTTCATTAAAACGATTAAAATGATCAAAACAATTTAACTATTCTTTTTATTCGTTGAATTTGCTTTTTTCAGCTTTTTTTTTCGCGGCTGAACGTATTTCGGCTCATTTAATCCCTTTTTTGTCATTTTGAATCCTTTTTTGATCCTTTTTGTCTCCTTTCTGTGTCTTTTTGTGTGTTTTTGTCTCCTTTATTTCACCAAAGTGATTAGAACGATTTAAATATTCTTTTTATTCATCGAATTTGCTTTTTTCAGCTTTTTTTCCTCGCGGCTGAACCGTCTTCTTTTCTTTTTCGGTTTTGCTGCTGGATGCTTCGTGCTCGTCGAGAGGTGGAGATACACCTGGCGAATGACCCAACTCAAGGTTTGCATCTTAATTAGTTTAATTAATTTAGTTTAATTAATTTAATTTAATTAATTTAATTAAATTAATTTAATTAAATTAATTAGTTTCATTTATTTATTTGTTTGTTTGTTTCTCTTGTTTGTTTTATTCTGTTTCTGTCGCTCTCGTTTTTATGGGGGGTTTAGTTTGCTGTTTGTTTTATTTGCTTTTCTTTTAACTTCGTTCTTATTTTTATTTTCTTTTTTAATTTCCTTTTTATTTTTAATTTTAGTTTTAAAAGTTTTATTTGTTTTAATTTGTTTGAATTTCACCCCCTATTTTCTTTTAACTTAGGGTTTAGGGTTTAGGGTTTGTGCTGCCTACTGCATCTCTGTGTTCTCTCTTCCCTTTGGCAGCAGCAGCAGCAGCAGCTGCTGCTGCTGCTGCTGCACTGTTTGTGTGGGCGTGTCTCCCTCTAGCAGCAGCTGTCTTTGTGTCTCCTTTCAGCAGCAGCTGCTGCTGCGTCTCTTTCTCTTTTGCTGCTGTTTAGAGACGCATGGACGCAAATTTGCTGCTGCCTTTGTGTCTCCCTTCAGCAGCTACTGCTGCTGTGTCTCTTTTTCTTTTGCTGCTGTTTAGAGACGCATGGACGCGAATTTGCTGCTTCGAGGCTTCCACCTTCTCGAGGAGTCTCTAGGGGTCAGGCGATAGGCCCTTTTGCTGCTGCTGCAGCTGCTGCTGCTGCTTTAGCTGCTGCTGTTGCTGCAGTGGCTGCTGCTTAAGCTGCTGCTGCTACTTGAGCTGCTGCTGCAGTTGCAGCTGCTGCAGTTCCTCTTGCAGCTGCTGCGGCAACGGCTGCAGCAACAGCTGCAGCAGCACCTTCAGCAGCAGCAGGTGCTACCTGCAAGCTTGCTGCAGCTGCTGCAGCTGCAGCAACTGCTGCAGCTTTTGTTTTTATAGAGAGCTGCCGTGCGGAGATGAGCAGCAACTGGGTTGTGTCCTGCAGCAGCAGCAGCAGCAGCAGCTGCTGCTGCTGCTGCTTGATGTTTAGTAGCTGACTAAGAAAAGATTATCTTTTTTGGAAGCAAAAGGAGACACAAGTGTGCAGCAGCAAAGGAGACAAAACCTGCGCAGCAGCAAAAGAAACAAAACAAATATATAAATAAAATGAGAAGTCTGAAAAATGAAAAAAGACAAGAAGACAAAAAATTAATTTCGACTTCGAAGGGGACAGGAAGAGATACGCTGTCCTGTGCGGTGTACAGACACACAGCTACCAGCTGTTGCTGCAGCAGCAGCAGCAGCAGCGCTGCAGCAGCAGCAGCGCTGCAGCAGCAGCAACAGCTGCTGCTGCTGGCTAAATGTGCCGCGCAGCAACTCTTGAGAGGACCGCAGCATGGATTCCTCCTGGCAGCTCTGCTTCTGCACTACTGATGCCAAACAGCTGCTGCTGCTGCTGTAGCTGCTGCTGTTCCTGGTGCTGCTGCTGTTGCTGCTGCTGCTGCAGAGGGACTAAGCTGCCGTGTGGGGGGACGCTGGCGAGGGCTACGTTCCTTCCCCGGATCTGCTGCAACACGAGCAGCAGCAGCTGCTGCCTCTTCTCTTCATCTGCTGCTGCTGCTGCTGCTGCGTCCCCTGCTGCTGCTGCTGCTGCTGCTGGCTGCAGCTGGTCGATGATCCTCCTCCCCTCCCCGTGGGAGAAAAGCGCGCAGCCCGCGTTGAGGGGCACAAGTGGCCTCCAGCTGCTGCTGCTGCTGCTGCTGCTGCAGCAGCAAAGCAGCGCCCTGGTGTCTGTGAAGGAGAGCAGCAGCAGCTGCTGCGTGCTGCTCTGAAGGCCCACTTTTTGAATTGCTGCTGCGATGCTGCTGCCTCCGGAAAGGGCGAGGAGACACTCCGTGAAGAAGCTTTTGGTTTTGCTGCTGCAGCGGGCCACGGTGTACATACACCGCAGCAAACTCACCTGCAGCTGCTCCACTGACACAACAGCGCATGCATTTAGCAGCAAAAAGCCCCACACGCAGCAGCAGCCCCACACTCTCGGGGCCACTGTTGCTGCTGGCGAGCCCGACAGCAAACTCTGCACTGCAGCGCCAGCTACGCTGCTGCTGCTGCTGCTGCTGCTGCTGCTGTTGCTGCTGCTGGTGGCGTCGCCGCTGGCGGCGCTTTGGCGTGCGCTGCTGCTGCCGCTGTGCGCTGCTTCAGGCGTGCTCTGCTGCTGCTGCTGTTGCTGCTGCTGCTGCTGCTGCTGTTGCTGTTGCTGCTGCTGCTGCTGCTGCTGCTGCTTGGGGGGCAGCACGAGCAGCTCCATCAGCTGCTGCGCATTCTGGACTTCGTCAAAGAAGAAAAGATCGAGACGGAGTTCCGGGCAAAGTGGCCAGAGGGAAGCAGAGAGGCCTTTGAAGCCTCCCACGGTCACCTCCTTGCTGCTGCTGCCGCTGCTGCTGCTGTTGCTGCTGCTGTTGCTGCTGCTGTGGCAGCTGCAGCAGCGGCGGGTCGTTGTCATGGTGCTCCGGATGCGCTTGCTGCTGTATGTGTCTTAAGACTGCTGCTGCTGCAGCGGCAGTTGCTGCTGCTGCTGCTGCTGCTACTGCTGTGCTAGCAGCCTTCCTGGGGGGCCCCACGGAAGACCCCGTAGAGGCTCTGCTGCCAGCCTCAGCAGCAGAGCAGCAGCAAAATGAATTAAATTGAATAATTTATTAAAAATAAATTTCAAATAGTCCTTGAGAATTAGATCTCAGAATAGCAAATGGCTCTTCTGCACCGCAGCAGGTGCATGCACAGCAGCAGCAGCAGCTGGAGCAGCTGCAGCAGCTGCTGCTGCATGCAGCTGTGAGCTGCCGGTATGCAATACAACGCGTGCTGCTGAAGCAGGGCCTTCACCGGCAACCCCTCATCTCTCCAGCGATGCAGGGGCCAGCAGCAGCAACAGCAGCAGCAGCAGCAGCAGCAGGAACAGCAGCAGCAGCAGCAGCAGGGAAGGCTGCACTAGCGGAAACAGCCTCAGCAGCTCAAAGGCCACTCTGGCCTCCAGCTGGCTCAAGGAACTCCAGGGGCTAACAGCGTCAACCTGTTGCCTAAGCAGCAGCAGCAGCAGCAGCAACAGCAACAGCAACAGCAAGCCAGCAACCAACTGCTTGCGCCGCTGCATCCGCTGCAGCTGCTGCTACGCCACACGAATTGTTGCTTCAATTTAGAAAGCATCCGGCCTTCCAGAAGCAGCAGCAGCTGCTGCTGCTGCTGCAGAAGCAGCAGCAGCAACAGCAGCAGCAAGCGCAGCCGCTGCTGCACGAGGGCAAGAAGCAATAGCAGCAGCAGCAGATGCTACCAGGGGAGCGGAAGCGGTAACTAAGACGGTGACTGCAGCAGCTGCAGCAGCAGCAGCAGCAGCAGCGGCAAGAGTAGCAGCTGCAGCAGCAACTGCCGCTGCAGCAGCTAACAGCACACCTCCCTCAGCCGCGGAGGGGAGGCGCACCATTTGCTGCTGAATGCAGCGCTGCTGCAGCGAGGCTTCGGGTGCTGCTGCAGTTGCTGCTGCAGATGCTGCTGCAGATGCTGCTGCAACTGTTGCTGGCAGCAGCAGCAGCCAAGCAGCAGTGGCACATGCAGGCGAGCTAATCTCAGCACCAGCTACAGCAACAGCTGCAGCAGCAGCTGCTGCAGGAGCAGCGGCTGCAGCAGCAGAAGGGGAAGCAGCAACGGGAGAAGCAACGGCAAGAAAAGCAGCAGCAGGGGAACCAGCAGCTGCAGCAAGTGACGCAGCAGCAGCAACAACGCCAGCAGCAACAGCAGCAGCAGCGGCAACTGCAGCACCTACAGCAGCATCGGAAATTGCAGCAGCAGCAGCAGCAGCGGCAGCAGCTACTGACACGCCTGCTGACACAGCAACTGCGCCAGCGCGTGCTGCTGCTGCTTCAACGAGGACACTAGTTGCTGCAGCAGCAGCAGCTGCCACAACAGCAACACCAGCAGCTGTTACAAAAGCAGCACCACCAGCAGCAGCAACAGCAGCTGCAGCAGCTGCAGCAGGAAGTACAGCCGCAGGCGCCTCAGCTGCGTCGTCATGTTCGTTCTGTGGCGGCAGCTGCGGTGACTTGGGGGAGTGCGCTGCTGCTGCTGCTGCTGCTGCTGCTGCAGTCGACGCTGCTCTGCTGCGCTGCAGCAGCATCTTGGCGCAGCTGCAGCTGCTGCCTTGCTGCTGCAGGCTGCCGCTGCATGCAGCAACTGATGCTGTTGAGTTGGCCAATTTGCATCGCCTGATTGGTTCTGTTGCAGCAAATAAGGCTCCCGTTCATGCTGCTGAGAGCAGCAGCAGCAGCAGCAGCAGCGGGACGCCTGTTTCCAGAGGGAAGCGCCCGGCCAGCAGCAGCAGCAGCAGCAGGAGCACCACAGCTCAAAACGGCAGCAGCAGTTGCTGCAGCGCCGCTGCAGATGACAGCAGCAGCAGCACCTTAGACACCTGCAGCAGCAGCAACAGCACCACCAGCAGCAAAGGCAGCACCAGCAGCACAGACAGCTCCCAGCAGCACCAAGACCCCGGCAGACAGCAGCCGCAGCAGCAGCAGCAGCAGGACCAGCAGCAGGAGCAGCAGCAAGACCAGCAGCAGCAGCAGCAGCAGCAGCATGACGGGCTGCGCCAGGGCTACATTCCCGCGCCGCTGCAGCGCCACCAGGCGCTGCAGCAGCTGCGGGTGGGTTTTCGTGCTGCAGTGACAGACGCAGCAAGTGAAGGCATTTTGATATATTTCTTCACCCCCTGCACCAGCAGCAGCAGCAGCAGCAGCAGCGGCAGCAGCAGCGCGTTTGTGATGCGCTGCGGCTTGCTGCTGGAGTACATTGCGGATGGGGACGCCTGCTTGTCTTGGGCGTTTGTGGCTCGGGGCCTTTCAGCAGCAGCAGAGAAGCAGCTGCTGCTGCTGCTGCTGCTGTTCGCTGCTGCTGTCTTCCTGAGGGATATGCCTTACTGCACAAGTGCAGCGGCAAGAGATGCTGCTGCTGCTGCTGCTCGCTCCCAGCTGCTGCCTGCGGGGATCTACAGACACCTCATTACGGAGCAGCAGCTGCTGCTGCCGCTGCTGCAGCAGCACTGCAACATTTGCTTCGTATCAGCCCCTGCAGCAGCAGCAGCAGCAGCAGGCGCGGCCGCACAGCCTGCCGACAAGAAGGCCAGGGAAGTAGCGCCGCACGCTGCAAGAGGCGCTGCAGCAGCAGAAACAGAAGCAGCAGCAACTGCTGCCGCTGCAGCAGCAGCGGTAGCAGCAGCAGCAGACACAGCAGCAGCAGACAAAGCAGCAGGAGCAGACAAAGCAGCAGCGGACACAGCAGCAGCAGACAAAGCAGGAGCGGACACAGCAGCAGCGGGAGCAGCAGCAGCAGACACGGCAGCAGCAGGCCCAGCAGCAGCAGGTCCAGCAGCAACAGGCCCAGCAGCAGCAAACTCAGCAGAAGCAGGCCCAGCAGCAGCAGCAGCAGCAGCAGCAGATGGGTTTTGCTGCATTCCGCGTCGCCCTGTGAATTTGCGCTGCCGGCTGACAGCAGATTCGAGCGATTTGCTGCTGTGCCCGCGGCCGCTGCTGCTGCTGCTGCAGGAGGAGCCTTTTGGCCGTTTGCTGCTGCATCGAGAGCCGGAGTGCCTTGAGACAGAAGCAGCAGCAGCAGCAGCAGCAGCAGACGCAGCGGCACGGAGGCGCGAGCGAAGCAGCAGCAGCAAGAAGAAGCGGCGCAGCGACGCGCGCAGCAGCGCGGACGCGAAGCTGCAGCAGCAGCAGCGGCAGCAGCAGCAGCAACTGCAGCGGCAGCAGCAGCGCGCTGCTGCACTTGCTGCTGCTGGCTTCACCCCCGACGGCCAAGTCATCCACAGCAGCCTCAAAGATGCTTCTTGCTGCTGCTGCATGCAGCAGCAGCAGTGGCAGCGGCGCATTGCCATTGTTGATGCTGCTGAGCTCGCGCTAAGGATAATTCCCGAGCTGCTCGACCTGCAGCAGCAGCAGCAGCAGCAGCAGCAGCAGAAGGGGTCGATAGGCTGGGCCCCGTGCCCGGAGCTGCAGCAGCAGCTGCAGCAGCTGCAGCAGCAAGAGCTAAACCCCTGCAGCAGCAGCAGAGCAGCAAACCAGGGCTGCGGTCGCGTCTGCGGCGAATTGCTGCGGGTCGAGGGGACACACAAACACGTCAAGCGCTGCAGGGCCATGCTTGCTGCACTGCAGCAGCAGCAGCAGCAGCAGCAGTAGCAGCAGCGGCTAAGGCAGCGGCAGCAGCAGCGAAGCAGCAGCAGCAGCAGCAGCGCGTGAAGTGGCGAGAGGCAGCCTGCGGGCGATGGAGGCAAAAGCAAACAAAGGCACAGCAGCAGCAGCAGCAGCAGCAGCCATGCAGGAAGCTGCAGCTGCAGCAACACAGGCAGCAGCAGCTCCGCGGGAGGGAGACTGCAGCAGCAGTTTAAGACAGGACGAACAATTAGTTTGTTTGGCTTTCTTTTCACTCCCGAGACCCCGCGGTTTAGGGTTTAGGGCCTAGGGTTTAGGGTTTAGGAGGTGTGCTGAAGAGAGACAATGAGCCTCGCAGCAGCAGACAGAGGCACAAGAGGCAAGGGAGACAGAAACCCTAAACCCAAAACCCTAAACCCTAAACCCTAAACCCTAAACGCTCACAAACACGCAGTGCATAGCAGCGATTCCTAGCGGACTTCCTCGGCTGATTGCTGCGGCAGGGTTTAGGGTTTAGGGTTTAGGTTTCACGTTCAGCGTTTAGGGTTTAGGCAGCTCAGGGGTTTAGGGTTTGACTCCGGGTCTAGGGTTTAGGGTTTAGGGTTCAGGGTTTAGCGTTGGCTTGTATTGAAGGCAGCAGCTGTTCAGCGGCAGCTACGTGTTCTGGCTAGCCGTGGGCAGCGCTGGCTAGCTGCCTGTGGCTAGCTGTGGCTAGCTGTGGCTAGCTGTGGCTAGCTGTGGCTGCCTGTAGCTAGCTGTGCTAGCTGTGGCTAGCTGTGGCTGTCTGTAGCCAGCTGTGGCTAGCTGTGGCTAGCTGTGGCTGTCTGTAGCTAGCTGTGGCTAGCTGTGGGTGGCCAGCGTGGGCAGCTAGCTGCAGACAGCTTTGGCTAGCTGGCGCTGCAGCTAGCTAGTGCTGCGCCTCTCCGTAGCTTTTCGCGCCAAGCCTTGGCTAGCTGTGGCTAGCGCTGGCTGCGGCTGGCTAGCTAGCTATTCCTGGCCAGGTGTGGCTAGCTAGCTGGCCCTGGTTATCTACGACTAGCTAGCTGTCCTTCGCCAGCTAAAGCCAGCTAGCTGGCTGTGGCTAGCTGCAGCTAGCCAGCTGTCCCTGGCTAGCTGCAGTTAGCTAGCTGTCCCTGGCTCGCTGCAGCTAGCTGCGACGGGTTGTGGCTTGGGGCTCTAAAGAGTATCACTGTAGCTAGCTAGCTAACTAGCTAGCTAACTAGCTAACTAGCTGGCTATTTGGGAATAGTTGCTGCGGCAGCTGCCCACAAGTGAAGGGGCCAGCACCGAGCTGTCCATGCTGTTCATCATTGGCAACCTCTACGGGTGCTTTCGCAGCAGCAGCAGCAGCAGCAGCAGCAGGAACAGCAGCTGCTGCTGCTGTGCTGCAGCAGCAGTAAAGGCTAGGCCGGAGACAGCACTGGAGACGACCCCGGCGCTCTTCGGCTGCTGAGGCCCCACGGAAGTTTGCTGCGCTCTCCAGGTTCAAGTAGCCGGGGCTGCTTGCTGCTGCAGCAGAAATGCAGCAGCAGCAGCAGCAGCAGCAGCAGCGTTCCCCTTTGTAGCTGCTGCAGCTCTGAGACTGCAGGCAGCACGGGAACCAATAGACCCTACAGATTCAGTTTGCGGCTGGGGGCAGGCAGCCAGGTGTGCTAGGGCCAGATATCTCGTAGCATAGGGTTTAGGGTTTAGGGTTTAGGGTGTAGGGTTTAGGGTTTAGGGTTTGGGATTCAGGCCTCCTTCAATCCACAAATAAAAATTGACTAATAATTGAAGTTAAAATGCTTTATTTGATTTATTTCAAGTTGGGAAAAAGCAGGAAAGAGTTGACGCGAGCGAGATGTCGCGGGGTGTACATACACCTCAGGGTCACCCGGGGCTGCGGCGGCGCCTCCTGGAGCTTTGCGTGGATTTCTTTGGAAATTAATTTGAAAATAAACTTTAAAATAAGTAATTATAATTATTTAAATATAATTGAACTGGATTGAGTGAATAAGGGAGGCGGCAGGGAGGCTGTCTGGGGTGTACATCCAGCTGGCGAACTGTTCGTCTCGTTTGCGCGCCGGACTTTCGCAGCTTTTACACCTTTCGGACCTTTTGGAGCTTTTCTCTTAAAATTTAAAACCAAAAGACCATTTAAAACTCTTTGTTTTAAAATTTAAAATTAAAAAATCATTTAGAAGTCAAAAGAGCCGAAAAGGCGCAACTGGAGGCCTGCTTCTGGGGTGTACGTACACCTGAACGCGCGCATTGCACGTACACCCGAACTTCGGGTGTACGTACACCGGAGTTTCGCCTCCTTCGCTGTCACCGCGCTCGCCACTGCAGCAGCAGCAGCAGCAGCAAAAGTTGAGAAGGCAGGAAGCAAATATAGATGCAAGAAAGATAGATCCAGAGTGGAAAAAGCCAGAAGAGCAGCAGCACAGCAGCAGCTCCTTGCTGCAGCAGGGGAGCGCCGGCGCAGCAGCAGCAGCAGCAAAAGGCCCGCAGCCGCCCCAGCAGCAAAAGGCCCGCAGCCGCCCCAGCAAGCGCTGCTGCTGCGCTGCAGCGCAGCAGCAGCAGCACCACCACCACCCCCAGCAACAACCGCAGCAGCAGCAGCAGCAGCAGCAGCAGGAATGGCGGCGGGGGCAAGTGTCTCCTCGGAGGGGCCCTGTCCCCTGGGCCCCGGAGAAGAAGAAAGGTTTTATCCTTCGAAAGTTGAAGAAATAATGGAGACACTTTGCAGAGACTTTTTGCTGCAGCTGGGGGGCTACGATGCTGCTGCTGCAGCAGGGTGGGCGCAGCAGCTGGCGCAGCAGCTGCTGGCAGCAATCCGCAGCTCGCAGCAAATCCCCAGGTTCAAAGTCCTCGTCCAGGTGCTGCTGCTGCAGCAAAGGAGACAGGGCATTTGCTTCTGCAGCAAAAGTCTCTGCGATGCAGCAGCAGACAACTGGGCCTCCGTTGCTGTTGCAGCAAAAGACATTCTTTGCTGCGCCATTGCCTACGGCTTCTACCACGAATAAAACAAGTCTTTTTCATTCATGCAATGCACCTGCTGCTGCTGCTGCTGCTGCTGCAGCAGCAGCAGCTGCGCCATTGCCTACGGATTCTGCCACGAATAAAACAAGTCCTTTTCACTCATGCGGTGCACCTGCTGCTGCTGCGGCTGCAGCTGATGCCGCAGCTGCTGTTGCTGCTGCTGCTGCTGCAGCTGCTGCCGCAGCTGCTGTTGCTGCTGCTGCTGCTGCAGCTGCTGCCGCAGCTGCTGTTGCTGCTGCTGCTGCTGCAGCTGCTGCCGCAGCTGCTGTTGTTGCTGCTGCTGCTGCAGCTGCTGCCGCAGCTGCTGTTGCTGCTGCTGCTGCTGCAGCTGCTGCCGCAGCTGCTGTTGCTGCTGCTGCTGCAGCTGCTGCTGCAGCTGCTGTTGCTGCTGCTGCAGCTGCTGTTGCTGCTGCTGCAGCTGCTGCCGCAGCTGCTGTTGCTGCTGCTGCTGCTGCTGTTGCTGCTGCTGCAGCTGCTGCCGCAGCTGCTGTTGCTGCTGCTGCTGCAGCTAGAAGGGCCCTGAAGTTGCAAGCAGCAGCAGCTAAAGAAAGGAGACAACTTGGATTTGACGAACTGAATTAAAAGGAGACACCTGGGCCTCGAGAAGACAAAGAAGAAAGAAAATTAAAAAGAAATTAAAAAGAAATTAAAAAGAAATTAAAGAAGTAAAAAAGATAATTCGTTTATTATTCAAAAAGCAAGTAAAGGGAGACTATTGAAAGGAGACAGTGGCCACTGGTTTAAAAAGGAGACACAAATAAAAAAAAATAAATAAATAAAAATAAAATTAAAAATAAAAAAATGGAGATAAATAAAATGCTGCAGAGCTCGAGTCCCCGCTGCTGTCTCCCCTTTCTATTTTCTTTTATTTATTTTTTTTATTTTCATTTTTCTTTTTGTCTCCTTTTAACATTTTGTTTCTTTTGTCCTTTTGTCTCCTCAGAGTCTCTTTTTCTTTTCGTTGTCTTTTTCTTTTCTTTGCCATTTATTTGTCTCCATTTATTTCTCTCCTCTTTTTGTCTCTTTTCCAATTCGTCGGTCTCCTTCCCAGGAGGCAAGAATAGCTAGCTAGCTAGCTAGCTAGCTAGCTAGCTAGCTAGCTAGCTAGCTAGCTAGCTAGCTAGCTAGCTAGCTAGATGGCTGACTAGCTAGCCAGCCAGATGGCTAGCTGGGCCAGCTAACTGTCTATAGCTAGCTAGCCAGCTAGCCATCTACAGCTAGCTAGCGAGCTAGCTGGCCAGCTAGCCAGCTATCTATGGCTAGCTAGCCAGCTAGCTGTCCAGCTAGCTAGCTAGCTAGCTAGCTAGCTGGCGGCCCACGGGGACAGCTAGCCACGCGGAGACTTTTGGGTAATAAATTCCTTTGTTTGAACTGCTTCAAAGTAGCATGTTAGGCAAGGAGGGACAGCTAGCCAACGAGCTAGCTAGCTAGCTAGCTAGCTAGCCAGCTAGCTAGATAGTTAGCTAGGGATGCCCAGCAGCAGCTAGATAGCTAGCTGGCTAGCTGTTGCTTAACCGTGACCTGGCTAGCCAGCTAGCTAGCTAGCTAGCTTCCTAGCAGTTACCTAGCTAGCTAGCCAGCTAGCTAGCTAGCTGTCCTACCAGTTACATAGCTAGCTAGCTAGCTAGCTAGCTAGCTAGCTGCTGCTTAAGAGTGACCTAGCTAGCTAGCCAGCTAGCCACTTGGCCAGCTGCTAAACAGCTAGCTAGCTAGCTGCCCAACTTGGTTGTTACTACCAGCTTAGCTAGCTGAAATAAAAGGAGACAAAAAATGAAATAAAAATGAAATAAGAGAGACAAAAAATGAAATAAAAAACGAAATAAAGAGGAGACAAAAGAGATAATAAAAATGAAACAAAAGGAGACAATAAGACGGTAAAAATGAAGTAAAACGGAGACAAAAAGCGGAATTGAAGAGATAAAAAATGAAATAAAAGAGAAAAAAGATAATAGTGATGAAATAAAAGGAGACAGTAATATAATTAATATGAAATAAAAGAGACAACAAATGAAATAAAAGGAGACAAAAAAGAAAATAAAAATGAAATAAAGGGGAAAATAAAGATGAAATGAAAAGGAGACAAAAAATGAAATAAAAGAGGAGAAAAAAGATAAAGTGAAATAAAAACGAGACAAAAAGAAAACAAAAAAGAAATAAAAGGGGAAAAAATGAACTAAAAACAAAATAAAAAGGAGACAAGAAGAAAATAAAAATGAAATAAAAGTGGAGTATTTGGAGACTAAAAAGGAAACAGTAAAAAGGAGACACTTTGTGGTTTTGGAAGGAGACAAATTGTTTTAAATGAATAAAAAGAAAAGAAAAAGCAATTAAATTAAATCAAATGAATTCAATTTGATTAACTTAATTCAACTTGACCCATTTAATCGCTTTAATTGAATTAATTCAACTGAATTTAATTAAATTAATTCCATTAATTCAATTAATTCAATTAATTTAATTGATTTAATTGAATTAATTGAATCAATTTAATTTAATTTATTTAATTTAATTTATTTAATTTCCTTCCGCTGGAGTCTTCGGCCGCAAACGCTCCCGCGGAGTCGGAGGGGGACGGGCCCGGCCTGAGGAGACACTTTTCAAAAAGAGACACTTTTTAATTTTAAGTAATTAATTTAATTTAATTTAATTCAATTTAATTGGATTTAATTTAATCAATTTAATTTAATTTGATTTGATTTAATTGATTCATTTTGTTTTACTTTATTTGGAAGTATTTAAGGTGTTCAAAAAAGGAGACTGTTTCAAAAAGGAGACATTCTTTAAAAGGAGACGCTTTTTGATGAATTAATTTAATCACTTTCACTTTTTAATTTAATTTAATTTAATTTAATTCACTTCGATTCAAATTTATTTTAATTTGTTTTAATTTAATTTATGTAAGTTGGAAGCTTTTAATTTTGCTTGATTGGGGTACGCGAAAAGGAGACAGTTTAAAAAGGAGACACTTTTTTAAGTTCTAAAAAGGAGACACTCTTTTTAAAGTTTAGAGAAAAAGAAATTAAATAAAAGGAGACACTTTCTAAAAGGTTTGGAAAGAAATAAAAGAAATGCCAATGAAATGAAAAAGAAATTAAAAGAAATAGAAAAAAATGAAGTAAAAGGAAATTAAAGGAAATAAAAAAGAAAAGACAATAGAAGAAATTAAACAAAAGAAATAAAAAGAAAAGAAATTAAAAGATATTACAAGAAATCAAAAGAAATTAAAAGATATTAAAACAAATTGGAAGAAATTAAAAGAAATAAAATTAAAAGAAATTAAAAGAAACAAAAGGAAATAAAATTAAAAAACATTAAAAATTAAAAGAAGAAATTGAAAGAGAGAAAAACAGACAAAGGGGACAAAAGAGACGGAGACCTTCACTTATTCAAAAACAAAAAGTTAAAATCAAAAAAGGAAAAGAATAAATTAAATTATTTAAAAAACTAATTAAATCACTTAAATTACTTTAATTAGTTTAAATAATAAATAAATATTAATTAACTTAATTAAATTAAATCGATTTAATTAATTAAATTAAATTGGTTTGATTAATTAAATTAAATTGATTTAATAAATTAAATTAAATCGATTTAATTAGTTCAATTAATATTCAAATTGATGCAATTAGGTAAACGAATTAATCAAACGAATTAAACAAACAATCTACATTGAATTAATCAAACTAAACAAATAAAACAAATTAAATAAAATAAATAAATAATTAAATAGTTAAATAACTAAATAAGTGAAATAAATAAACAAATAAATAAATAAATAAATAAATAATTACTCTTTGCCATAAGTCCCTGAAAGAAATGCTGCAAAGATCCTGTCTCCGATTGTCCCTCGGGGCTTTTAGAAGAGCCTTGTCTGTGTGCTGCTGCTGCTGCTGCAGCAGGAGAGTTTGCTGCTGCTGCTGCTGCTGCTGCTGAGGTGTTCCGCCGCAGCTCCAAGGAGACACCTTCCCCGCTCGAGCTTTCTGTGGACAAATTCTGAAAAATAAAGAGACAAAAAACAAAACTAAATTAAATTTAAACATAAATTGAAAATAAATTAAAAATAGATTAAAAATAAATTAAAAATAAATAAAATATAAACTAAAATGTGAATTAAAAGACAAAAAGAGACAAAAAAGACAGAACAAGAAAAAAGGGACAAAAGGGAACACTATACCCCACAGAGACACAAGTGCTGCTGCTGCTGCTGTAGCTGCTGCTGCTTTAGTTCCTGCTGCTGCTGTTGTAGCTGCTGCTGCTGCCGCTTCGTTGCTGCTCTGGCTCCCGCTGCTTCAGGTGCTGCTGCTGCTGCTTCTGCGACTTCAGCTGCTGCTGCTGCCATTTTTGCTGCTGCTGCTCTGCTACTGCTGCTGCTGCTGCTGCTGCTGGCTCACCATTCGGACTTCTTTGGCTTTGCCGCTGCTGCTGCTGCTGCTGCTGCTGCTGCTGCTGGCATTTGCAGCTCTATTTGCTTCATTTGCTTTGTCAAGTGCTCTTTGCTGCTACAACTGTGGGGTGCTGCTGCTGTGCTGCTGCTGCAGCTCCTTCAAAAAGGAAGCAATGGGCTGGACAGACACCGCAGGGGCTGTCTCCTTCTCCTTCTGCAGCAGCAGCAGCAGCAG